TCAGTGATGTAGAAACATGTCCCACCGCCAGGCGATTTCCTCACTGATTCTGCGTCGCAATCCGCTCTGAACAGATGGAAGCCGGCAGATGTAACACACTATCCGGAATGGCTCCATTCAGCCACGTTTCTGTGAAACACCGAGTAGCAGACTTTGAAAAGTCCTTATTTGTTGGGGAAGTTCGTCCGTTTGTTGGGTAGAGGACGGAGATTTGCCGGATGGATACAAGGCAGTGCAGTTTTAAAGCCGCGCTGTCTAAGCTTGACTAGCGTGCCAGCTCGCTTCCCACGCTTGCGCGTCTTGAAGTGCTTGAGCATCACTGCTGCTTCTCCAACTACAATGTTCAACAAAACGTAAGAATAATCAAAAACCAGTAGAAGATTGGGTGGTGTGTTCTGCCGAATGTTCATCGGTTCATCCCTGGTGAAACTGATTGTATAAGAAAAACAAAAATCAGGACAAACTATTTGACAAACAAAATGTTTTTGTGGATTTCTCGAGTGCTTTTAATACAGTGCAAACCCACCTGATGGGACAAAAACTGCTCCAAATGGACGTGAATCCGCATCTTATCCTATGGATCCTGTCTTTTCTGACAGATAGACACCAGAGGGTCCGCATCAACGGTCACCTCAGTTCGTCTAAGACAGTTTCCACTGGAGCACCACAAGGCTCTGTAATCTCACCGGTTTTGTATACACTATACACTAATGACTGTAGGAGCAATAACCCAGGTATTATATACACTAAATATTCTGATGACACTGTGATCATGGATACCACTAACTCACTACGAGAGCTACAGACCGAGATGGAACTCTTTGCGGAGTGGTGCAAGCAGAACTGTCTTGACCTCAACCCCTCTAAAACAAAGGAACTGGTTGTTGACTTTCGTAAAGATGTTTCCATCATTCCCACTTTGTTAGTCAACAACCAGCCAATAGAAAGGGTTGAATCATACAGATACCTTGGGACAATACTCGATCATAAACTTACTTTCCAACTAAACAGTGAAAACATTTTTTTCTAAATGTCAGCAGCGCCTCTTTTTCTTGAGGAAGCTCCGTAGACTTCAGGTTCACCAGTCAGTCCTGATAGCTTTCTACAAATGCTTCATTGAGTCTGTAATAACCTTTAACATATCAGCCTGGTTTGGATCACTATCCAATATTCATCGTAACACACTAAACAAAATCATAACAATGAGTAGTAAAATAACCGGACAGGTGCAAGAATCACTTATCAGTATTTACAACAGGAGGACAAAAATAAAAGGAATACAAATAGCCTCTGACACCACTCACACATTGCACAGTCACTATAGTATTTTACCCTCAGGTCTGAGATACAGATCACTCTTATTTAGGACTAAGAGAGCCATGACAAGTTTTGTGCCTACTTCTATTAGAAATATGAATAGTTGATAAATTTATTCACCATGATGCATGTCCGTATGTGCGGATTTGTGAATTATTTATCTCTTCTTATTTATCTATTTTTTAACGTAACCTTTTTATGCCTACTGCTTATTTATCATGTACTTATTGTGCTTTGCAAGCTTTATTTATTTATTACTATTTATTACTTATGTGAGTGTGGTAGACTGTGCTATGTTTGTGCAACTGTACACGCATGTTGATGCTCAACACGAATGAAGTTCCTAACGGATAAATAAAGTTCTTTGAATTTGAATTGAATTGAAATAAACTAACAAAAACGGCCATACACGGCGCCATCTTAAATCTAGAATACTCTGATGATAACGTCATAGTGTAAAGACACCTTTAGAGTAATTTCTGTTTGTCCATTTGCCAATGATTAAGACTCAAAGGAGAAATTGTCAATCTAATCCTGCTTCATCAAAAAGTCGTTTTATTTATTTCCTTTTTCAATAATTTATGACTCTATACTAGACAAAGCAGCAGTCATGAGCTGCTTTTCCACTTTCGGAACAGGAACAGTTCCTGTTATATTTCCACTTGAGCTTGGTTCAATACGGCACGATTACAAATCGTTCTCTGCCCGGAATTCTCAGCACGGCTGTCTAACTCAGTAGCGGTTTTAGGCACGGGCGAACCGGGCAGTCGCCCGGGGCGGCATTTTTTCATGTCACATGGGGGGCGGCACGAGCAGTTAAAAAAAATCCTCTGCGCCGCGAAGGTTTTCTATTTTCTATCATTTCAATTCAATTATTGGCAATGGCGCCCCTGCTTGCTGAGAAGGTGCCGTGCACAGAAGCGATGTCAAGGGGGTCTCCAGATTGGAGGTAACTCACCAAGGGGCCGTTCACATATCGCGTCTTTTGCGCATAGTTTCAAATGTAGGCGCACGGGAAGCGCGCTCATAATTGAAGCGACGCGCTCATTTTTTCCAGGAGCAGCGAGATGATTTTTTTAAAAAACTTTTCAGTATGGGGGTGCACCCAAACACATGGGTGTTTTTCTCTTCTCCGTAAATAAATCTTTTAGCAGAGCTACAGCAAGCGTTTTTCTGTGGTGGAAATCCATTAGCTACTAAAACTTCTTTGTCGTTGTGGAGAGCGCAGTGCATGGTTGCATAGCAACGACAGCCATGGGAAAATCGGACCGAATTTTACTATTAATCATAAAAGATAAGCTAATGTGCTTATCAATAAAGATAAATGTCAGGAATTTATCTTTATTGGCTCATTCTTTTTATAAAGATGACTTAAAGGCTGAAATATGTGAGGTTTATCTTTTTATAAAACCTTTTCTGTCAAAAGTTTATTTGAACGTGTACATGTTAGTAGATAACATAAAATACACTCCTTTAAAATTTGGCCATCATCTTTAATGTTATTAACTTGGTGAATTGATTTCATTGTGTATTAGGCCTACTTTTTGAACAAGATTCTGTTTAACCGTGATCATTTTGGTCACTATATTCATGAAATGAAAATAATTTTCATAATGATCAACTAAAATCAACTATAATTATGTGTTTTTACAGTAGCCTATAATATGCAAAGTACAATTTTCTATTAAAAAATAATCTCTGATTCTGTCCTTATGACATTTAAGAGTGACATAGGCCTACAAAAGCTATTTTAGGTCTAAAACAGTTTGGATAGTTGTTAATATTAAAGTTATTAGAAATTATTTAAGAGATAAGTATTGTGTTACTACATAAGTAGCTCTCGGCCACTTTCACTTTTAAAAACTCTATTTCTTGACAAAGTATAGTTTAACAAGTCATAACTAAAAGTGTGCCATGCATAGAATTCGAGGCAGTAACCAATGAGCTAATGGTTCCTCCCTGAAAGTTAGATTAATATAGAAAAATAACTGGATTTTATTACTGTGTTTTTCAAATGAACGGTATGTGATTTTATTGTTGTTGTTTTTTGTTGTTATGGGGGGGCGCTAGAAGGGGGTCTCGCCCAGGGTGTAATTCAATGTAGAACCGCCACTGGTCTAACTGTCAGGAAAACTTTCATGAATAAGAATCTGAGTTCTGGGAGACCGCTTGGGATTTTACACAGAATAGTCCAGAATACTGGCTTGGAATCAGTCATGCATATTGTGTTGATTTCCAGTGCTGGACAGTGCTGTTCGCCACTGAGGAGTGAGGAGGATGTGAGGAGCAGGTGTGCTGAACAGCTCCCATGTGAACACACCACCGACAGGAAGATCAGTTTCATACAGCAGGCCTACACAGGATGCACAAAGCATTCTGCACAGGAACAGAGATGAGCTCAAACCCTCAGTGGTGGAGACCTACTGTACTAAGTGACAGCAGAACTGGATAGACCTGGTTGGAACATATTTATCACATAAATGTATCTGACAAAGTCACTTGTTCTTTTCATGTAAACAGAACCCTGTGAGCCAACATGATTGACCATAAATCTTTTAACACATGGCTCTGTACACTGAGCATGTCGTAAAATTAGAAAACTGATTGTGATAGGTGGTCTTAGGGGAATTGGTCTGCCTGTGTTAACAGGCATTTGAAGGGAAACCACCTGAAGTTCACATTGACAAGATTAACATGGGCCCCTCCATCTGGAACACATGTGCCACAACCCAATGCAATCTAATCACTGAGTGAAACTTATCTGCTCTGTCTCAGAGATATGAGCCATAAATGGCCATCAGTGTAACTGCAAAGCTATAAATCATTGCATAATCTAAATAAATTAAATCGAGTGAAGATAACCTGTTCTGGCTACACTACAAATTGTTTAAAAAAATTAAAACATAAAAAAAAACCTAAGGAAGCTGTAAGTATCTGGTTTTCTCAACAGAAAACAAAAAGCCAATGCAAGTTTTTAATCTCATAAATCTGCCTTTTATTCTCACAATTGCAAGTTTATATATTATAATTAAGACATTATTTCTTAGAATTGTGAAAAATAACTTAGAAAGAGAAAAAACTCAAAAAAGGTAATTGCAACTTTACACAATTAGGAGTGAGATAAAGGTGCAATTACCTTTTTTCAGTTTTCTTTCTCGGAAGAGTTTTTATTGAGCTTATAACTTGCAATTGTGAGAAAACAAGTCAGAATTGTGAGATATACAAATTCTCAGCATCATTACTCCAGTCTTCAGTGTCACATGATTCTACAGAAATCATTCTAATATGATGATTTGATGCCCAAGAAACATTTATTTTTATTATCAATGTTGAAAAGAGTTGTGCTGCTTAATATTTTTTGTGGAGATCAATTAATCTTTGATGAATGGAAAGTTCTAAAGAACAGTTTTTATTTTGAAATAGAAATCTTTTGTAGCATTATAAATGTCTTTACTGTTTATTTTGTGTTCTTGCTGAATAAAAGTATGAATTTCATTAAAGAAAACAACAACAACAACAACAACATTGTGCTGATCCCAAACTTTTGAATGGAGGTGTAAGATAGATGAAATACATAAGAAGGTTATACATGAAATTTGAGAATGGTAAAGCTGGTGTTAATTTAAAGTGATATTTTTGCTTATACAATGCATATTATTAAAGGCACAGCTAGCACAACTCACCAGACAGGACGACCTCAATAAGATCTCCCTCATGGATATCCTCTGCCGACATTAGCCGCTGGAGGATGTTGTCTGAGTTCAGATCATGGCGGAAGAGCAAGATCTTATCGTACAAGCCAAAGAATCCACATTCTGGGAACTGAGGAGGGGAGGATGGGATATGTTATTAATAATCAAATCAAACATCAAAGGAGCTTCTTCATCAGAACTTTGCATCTTATATTGTAAACTTTTGAGAAGATCTATCTATCTATCTATCTATCTATCTATCTATCTATCTATCTATCTATCTATCTATCTATCTATCTTTATAGAGATTGTTGGTATAAAAAGACTAGCATATGAAAGTAGCATTTGTATGTTGCTGTGGGAAATTATGGAATATTAGCACATAATAAATCTGAGCACTCAACGCCACCCACAACCAGTCAGAATCAGGTATTCAAGAGATCCATATAATGATGTGCGATGAATCCTAATACCCTAGAGCCAAAGACAATATGACAAGAGAGAGAGACACAGAAAGGAACATCCAGGCCCTGTTTTTCAGCAATGGCTTCCCTCTAAGGAGATTACTAAAGCTGGGAGGCATGCAGAGCAGAGCGCCTGAAATATTAGCCCGGCAAAGGGAAGGTCTGTAAAACATCTGTTGAAATCAAGCCCACACAGATGAGTCACACTACTGTTCTTCACTTCCTCCACCATAGCTCTTCTCCACGTGGAATTATTTGCAAGATAGAGAGGGCTCATTAACCTTGCTTATATGACCTTTTTATTTTTTTTGCATTTTTAAGGCCAGCTAGTAAAGAGCTGTACAGGTAAACCTCACTCCCCTGGCCTCAAGAGGCGCACTAGCGACTGATGCTAGAGGCTGTGGTCTTTGTTAATGCTCCCGCCTCTCGTGCTGGTGAAGCCGGTTCAGATCCAGCTCGGAGCGTGCATGAGTAGGACCAGTTACATCTAAATATATCCATAAAGACAGAGCGAAATATTTGCCCACACAGCAAGCAGTGTCTCTACAAATCAAATACACAGTAAATTGATTTTTCGAAGTTGTAAATAAAACAACGATTATTTGAGTAATATTTTACAAGCAAATACTATTTCAGCCTTTCTACTTCAAAATGTAATGTTTAACTCAATGTGTTACTTGCTTTGTAGTTGCTTTGTAATTATTTGTTAAAATTTACTGTTACAAATTTCTGAGAGAAAATTGTTCAATCCTATTTTTCTTTTTTCAATGTACAGCTTTATTATGATCAAGAATTTGAGGAATTAACCTGATACACTAGATGACACTAGTTAAGTTTAGAGGAAAGCATAAACATTCCAAAGTGGAATAGTCACACAGTCAGAGGTGAGAAGTCCTGTCAGGAAATGGTGATCACAGCCAATTCTGAGGTATTTCCTCTTATCAAGAATCACCAAACACCCTCCCATTGAGAATATTTCACACTGATATGTCTCTGGTGTACTCTGGAATCTCTGGGATCTACATCAGGTCTTCTTTAAAGCTAAAGGATGTTTGGGAGTATTTAGAGAAAGAATAATTGAATATGTCAAGTCAAGTTGTATTTGTGTCATAATGCCTTATAGTGGAATTTAGCAGATTAGAGCCAAGTGATAATATTTTGCGACAATGCAAGCGATCAAACAGTTGAGATTTGCTATATAGTATATCTTGCCATAAGCAAAATATTCAGTTTGTATGAGGATAAAGCTGGACATACTTTTATATCTAACTTTATATAAAGAGCTGGGTGATAATATAGATACATTTTGCGACTATATAAAATAAAATCAGGCAGCTAAAATTTGTAATATAGTATATATTGCTTTACATGAATGTACTGTATGTATAGGAATAAGGTTGGATATCATATATAGCTCACTTATATATATATATATATATATATATATATACACACACTGTATACACACACACACAGACACACAGATAATAATACAATTTACATTTTTGCAATGATATAAACAATCATGCCTAATGTCATTTATTTAGCTTCATTTTTCAAATCTAAGTCAACATTGTGATTAATAATTCCCTTTACAAAAGCAAGCATCGATGTAACTTATTTACGGTTATGGATTTGAATCCTTTGCACTATGAGCATGAATGATACCTCAAATTATGTGAACTGAAGGATGATAAGACAAACAAACAAATAAATACATAAATCCCATGCAGACTTAAAGAACACTGAAGGCAAAAATACCGGTCCGTGTACCTTCGGATAATTTGTTTTCTAGTTATTGTCTTCAAAATGGATAAACGATGAAACTGCTAATTTATCACATATTCGACCCTTCTCGTGATCATAAAAAACAAATCATGTCATGTTTTCGTAGTTTTATTTTTGTTTTCATCACACTTTGTTGAAATGCACCAAATGGAAATACAATAAAACCAAAATAGATAAACAGCTTGAATATTCGATCTTTACATGTGGGCGGGAATGAAATGGCCCTTTTCACTGATTGGTCAACCAAAGATCAAACCATGCCGTCATCAGTTCTTCTATTAATTTACAGTCTATGGTTCTTCCTCTGTTCCGCGTAACACAGTACTAGTCATCCACTGCTACAGTTGGACAGCGCGCAGCGGATGCATTTAGGCTACATTGTAGTGAATCGCAAACCAGCATTTTATTTTAGACAATACAGTGACTTTTTTTTTAACAAGGGATTAAGTAGAACTTATATGACAGATAAGAAAAGATATATGACATTATTTCACATCAATGGTCACAGTATCTACAGTTTTGTTTAGTAATGGGCGATATAAACGATATGCAATATAAACGATACAAAATTGGTCTACGATATGGATTTTAATTATATTGCACTATCGCGATAATGCATGTTGACGCAATCTACCCGCAAAATTTAGAGCCACGAGCTGCAAACGGCTGCAACGCATCATCGTATTCGACATCTTGAGTAAACATGGCTGAAAGCGAAACGGAGGAGCTGGTAAAAAAAACCGGTGCAACATCCATTGGTTTGGATTTAAGCCGTCCGACGAGCAGCAGCAAACTATACTCTGTATGGGCAACAGTTCTGGCTAACGCCTGTTTCACACATATTCCGTTTGCAGTGCATATATAGGCTATATATTTTTTCCGTACCCATGTTAACAGGCCTGCACGCGGAGTTGTGCGGCAATGCGTTCCAGGAGCGGTGTGTATACAGCAGTGCAGTGATCGTTTCCACACAGTCTATTTCTGCTGTGCTGCACGTGCTGAATTAAAGTGACAGCGCATGGTTCATGGTCAAAATGAACACGGATTGATATGAAAATATAGTAATCTTTTTACTAATATAGTAAAAAAAAAAATTATACTATTTTTCAATCATTTTCTTTTTAACTTTAAGCTCGGGGTAATTAAAGCAAGGAAACTACACAGTAACATTACCTCAACAACGCGACATAATGGATGCACTTGTCTCTTCGTGAAACAAGTTCTTTGTGATATTTCTTTTGTTCAATATTTCTTGTAAAAAAAGATTTAAATGCAAAAGAAAAGGTATGAGAGAGCTGTTTATGTCAACTATGTATGTTTTAATTTAAAATGTTTGCGATGTTAACATAAATGTATAAATGTTTTGCCACTTGCTTGAGCAACTTAATATATAAATCTATATAGAAGTAATAATACGTTTTTAAGTGTTATAAATTTAAACGTGAATAGCCTAAGTCTTGTGAAAGTGTGCATATTACTAGCCTACTGTCTGTGTACAAATAGAATCACAATGCTGAAACTCTTTTATATTATTTTATAAAAGACACTAATAATATAAATAGTGATTTGAAATAAAAAATAGAGGATTAATGTTGTTTGTCGTACAGCCGTAGATCAGTTGCGCACTGCAAACGCACCATATGTGAAAGCACAATAGCGCATGCTGCTCCTGTGCCGCACACCACCGCACTGCACTGCACACGGAGTATGTGTGAAACAGGCGTGCACTACAGGAAATAAACCCAATACTTTAAGCTTTTTCTTTGTTAAAGTCTCTGCAGCTAGTGTACTTGAATTTTATTCATCTGCAACATTATGTTCTATAATTACAGTTTTGCATAATAAATGTTTTTAAAACAAATACATTTAGCAGTTTGGCTTTCCTTATGGTCTGTCTAACCTGTTCTGAAATGGTTCTATTATAATTTATATATCGTGATATATATCGTTATCGCAAGAGGCTGCAATGTATATCGCAATATGGATTTTAGGCCATATCGCCCATCCCTAGTTTTGTTCTATTTTGAGTTTTTTCCATAAAGAAGTTTACAAACACAGGCTATCATGTCATTATCCCACTGGCACATTACACATGTTATTTGTTCCCCAAGGAAGTACTGTTTTAGAGATTGACTTTATTGAATTGTGAACTTAAAGTCATGATTTGATGAAGAAGGCGAACCCGTTTGAGATGCAAATTTAAAATAACACACATTACAAAAAAATGTATAATGTGCATGACTTAGAAGGCTGGGGGGTCTGCATGGGCTTAAGTCAATGTTTGACACATCTTACACCTATCTCTACAAATGACCTCAACTAGAACTACATGTATCATTATGTGAAGTTACATTGACAAACTACACAAAATGTGAGGCTGTGGTTCCTAGAAAACGGAATATGCAGCACGCTCAGCCTAGTTAAATTGTATAGGTAAAGTTAAATAAATCAGCATTATATCAGGATATAATATATAGAAATGCTCTCTCAGTTACAAGATAACAAAAACCTGAAATAACAATTTGAAGTATAAAGCCAGAGATTTTTTTTTTATTGCCATCTATAACTGTCAGAAAATCACTTTTTCATAATGGCAATATACCCCCTTGATTTTTGAATTTGATTGTGTTAATGAATGTGTCATTTATTTAACCGATTCATTCAAAACGTTCAGGCATAAAAATCAAGTGGCTGTATATATTAATGGATCGTTGAATTACACACTCAAACGATTCTTTCAAAGACTCGTATTCATTCAAGAACGAAACACCACTCTATGCTGCGAGTCAGTCGCATAACGGTTCTATGACTTTGCTTTTGAAGTTTAGTTGGCAGAGAAAATAAAACACTGTTTTGTGTAACATCAATTAATAGTCAA